GGCACAAGTTCCATTAGTAGTTAAAATACTGTAATAATACTGCTGACAATTTTTACGGCAAAACCTTGTAAAAGGAAAGAATTTTGTCGCCTGGAAAGATAATAGTAATTTGAACCTATGTCTGCATTTCCTAAATAGAATCTTCAATTTTGGAGTTTCTAAAACAGGACTAGAAAAGTTGCTCCACTGAAAAGCATTTGTGTCCTTTTCCAAACTTTCACTGCAGAAAAGATTTAAGATCTGTGGGTGGCATTGCCTCCTTATTTCATTTTAAGCTTGGCAGTTTTGAAAGGCAAAACTTAATTTTTGTGAAATATTGACTCCTGTTAAGTAAAACTAAAATTTTGCACTCAGCAAACAAACGTCTATTGTATACAAAGGTCTATTATGTATCTATGAAGTGTGGGACAGAGAGATGATAAATCAAGTCTCAGATAAACAGGGGGTTAGAAAAGGGGCACAGAAACATGGAGAAGAGTCCAGGAAGGGGTAGCAGTCAGCAGGATTTAGCCCATAGGCAGGGGAACTGGAACCTTCGGGAAAAAAGTAACTTACAGCTTGCCAAAAGAGCCCAGGTAAGATGACATTAAGTATGGTCAGGTGGATTAGAGGTAGGTAAATGCTAAGTAATTATTATAAAGTCCTCAACCCACCAAATTATTGACATTCATGTGTGGTATCCACCGAGTTAATGGGAGAGGAATAATGTAAATGTACTGCCTGAGAGACTGCAGTCCTTCAGGGAGGGATGTGTAGGACCATGTAGAGATTGTTCAAGTGTTCTTGAAAACCTGTCATGCTTTTTCTTATTTAAGCTTGCTACCAGATAGAATAGCATACACTGGTTATGATACTTTATGTTCGTATCTTCTATGTTCTCAACATCGCAGAAAGGGATGCTTACTGGTGTTATAGACTAGGAAACTGGGGCTCAGAGAGGTCATTTTTCTTGCATGGGTGTTGAAGATCTGCTTCTGAAAATTCTTTGAGAATAGAACTATAACCTTTATGTATTATTAATAGTATTTAATATGATCAATATTTAGTCGGTACTTATAAACAGACCAACAAATCTTAGAATATTCTATATTTAAAGTTCCTCAATAAATTCAGTTGGTAGACAGGTTATTTTTAAAAGTGTTCTGGGGAGAAGAGAAGACACTGCTCCCGGCAGCCTCCAGGAGACAGTTTATGCGCTTGAGCTCAGCAGTAGAACAATGTCAAGGTCTGCTCTCAGTATCTTTCCTTGTTCAGGGGGCAATTTTAACCTTGGTCTCTTCATAGCTACCCTGGCGGCTAAAAAGAAAAGTGAGTTTATGTCCAAGAAAAATGTTTTCCCTAAAATGAAGAGCTATCTTATAAAAAAACTTTTCTTTGAAATTTTCTAACTTGAAGATCCCTAGCGCTTCATCCTTCTTCCATCCCTCCCTTTCTCCTTCCTTTCTTCCCTCTTCCTCCCACTGCTCTTTAGATAATTTCTTTACAATAAAGCCTCCTCTCTCCTTTGAGGAAGGAAAAGAGTATTAAAAGAAACAGAATGACCATATTGAGAATATCTGAGAATTTATGAAGAACAGTAATAAGTAGGGTGCAAAAACCTGATTATCATGTGGGTTCTTGAAGGGCAACTTAGATGAGCATAGTTTATGACCATTTCTATAAATTACCCATTAAAAAGGTCTATGCACATAATATCTATTAACAAAGCAGAATATATTACTAAAAGATCATGATGGCTGTGTAACTCACCTGTGAAGGACACCTGAGAACTGTAAAATGTATACACAATAAGAATTCTGGTTATTTTACATTTTAGAACTGACTACTGCAAAATAAGTGATAACTACCCTTTTTCTGTAAAATGTACATTCCTCTCTGTGGTATTATTAGGCCATTTTCTCTTACTGAAAGTGGAAGTAGACTTAGATCCTGGATTCAAGCCTTCTACCCATCTCCCATCTGCCTGGAATTGATAGTATCCACCCCTTCCTTTCTCTTGCTACTATTGTATGCAGCTGTTCTTACTTCATCACACTTCACCTCCTTCAAAGAATTCAAGTTAACTTTAAAAAAATATTTTATCATTTTTATTTTATGTGTATGAGTGCACTGCTTGCCTGTACGTTAGTGCACCTGTGTCATGCAGTGCCTGTGGAGGTCAGAAGAGGGCATCGAATTTCCCTGGAACTGGAGTTATGGCCTTTGTCAGCTGCCATCTGAGTGCTGGGATTCAAATCCGGGTCCTCTGATGAGCCCTTCAGGTTACTCTTTTACTATATTCTCCACCTTTTATAAGCTTAGGAATGACCCTTAATTAATTTCAGGGCTTATTTTTACTGTTTCCATGCTTGCTTCCACCTCATTTCCAAAGTTTGCTCATTGCAAACTTTCTTTCTTTCCCTCCCCTCTTCCGCTCTCTCCTCTCTCCCTAGCCCTTCTTCCCCCTCCCTCCTTGGGCAACACTTCTCCCAATATCCTTAGGCTCCTCGGTCTTTTTGCCTTAGTCCTGACAAACCATGAGTGTCTCAGCACATTGCTTAGTTCTTTCTGTGCATCAAAGATCTGAGAACCGCCTACAATTGAAAGCAAATGTTTTGTGTTTTGGGATATTTTCTGCCCATAGGGAAAGTGTAGCTTTCATATCCTCAAAAGGGACCTTGGAGCTGGGCAACGGCTCACACTGGCAAATCCCAGCAATCCCACCACCCTGGAAGCCAGAGGATGATGGAGCTCGAGGCCAGCCTCGGATATACTGCCAGACACTATTTTAAGAAAAAAGAAAAAAAAAAAAATCTGGCTTGACTGATGCACGTGATTTCAGGAGGCAGAGGCAGTAAAGTCAGAGTTAAAGGCCAGCCCTGGCCTACAAGAGCGGGTTCCAGGCCATCCTGAGCTGCCAGAGGCCCGCTCTTTTAACTGGGCAGGACACCCTTGCTCTCGGCCTCCAATCGCCCTTTTCACCTAGCCAGCCGTTCCCATATCCACCCCCGGCTCATCCCAGGGGATAGAGAGACCGCAGCGGGGGGCAAGAGGGAAAACCTTTTAAAAAAAAAAAAAAAAAAAAAAAAAAAAAAAAAAAAAAAAAAAAAAAAAAAAAAAAAAAAATTCTGGCTTGACTGATGCACGTGATCTCAGGAGGTAGAGGCAGTAAAGTCAGAGTTCAAGGTCAGCCCTGGGTTACAAGAGCGAGTTCCAGGCCATCCTGAGCTGCCAGAGGCCCGCTCTTTTAACAGGGCAGGACACCCTTGCCCTCGGCCTCCAACCGCCCTTTTCACCTAGCCAACCACTCCCATATCCACCCCCGGCTCATCCCAGGGGATAGAGAGACCGCAAACCAGCGGAGAAAGCAAGATTCAAAAGAAACGCTGAGACTCAGAGCAGGAAGAAGCCGCAGTATAGACGTTTTACGTCTAGTTCAGCTTACTGAATCCTGTGGATTTGGACCTGGGGCGGGGGCCTGGCAGGGTCAAAATAAAACCCAGGAGGAACGGAGTGAAATTCAGGCCGTGTGTGTAAAGACGCTGGCTGCTGGCTACGCAGGAGAGGGCACGCCGGGCTCTGGGAGGGGACCAGGACCGAGAGCGACCGCACCAAGCTCTGCGCCGGGCAGCCAGGCTGACCCCTGCTAGCGGCACAGGCAAGCGCCCGAAGCCCCGCCCTGCCCCGCCCTGCCCCGCCCGTGACGGACAGTCTCGGTGTGCAACCGCTTTCCAGTTCACCATAAACACGCCCCACCGCTCCCGCCTCTCGAGCTCTCTCTCAGCCATTCAGAGGAATGGGCGGGATCGTCCTTCGTGGTCTCCAATTTTTTTTTAAAGAGGACGGACTCGGAGCCTAGTTCCCCCCAGGAAAATACACCTCTTGGGCCTGAGGGGGTGGAGCCTCCGTGACTGGCACCGAGCTTCGCCAATGAGACGCTCCAGCCGCACGAAGGCCCGGCCACCCCCGTGGGCGGGGCCCTCGCATGCCAGGCCAATGGCGGCCGCGCGGACGAGGTTGAGCTGCCGTGGGTAGGGTTAGTGTGAGAGGTGCGGCGGGGGAGGTAATGATGGTGGTGGTGGCGGCGGAGGAGGGCGGGGGAGGGGGCGCGAGGCGCTGAGCCGAGGCGCTAGCAGGGTTCGCTCGGGCCGGAGGCCGCTCTGCCGGGAGGGGGCGGGCGCGGGCGCCGTCCGCTCGGGGGACTGCGGACCCCGGCTCCCGCCTGCGCCGCGCCGGGCTCGGCTGTTCCATGCGACTCCGGTGGGGATGGAGGACTCGGTGGCGGCGGCGGGTGCTGCGGCGGCGGCGACGGAGGAGCGGCTCTGAGGAGGGCACGGCGGGATTGGAGGTGTGAGGAGGGGCCGGGGCGCGGGGGCCGGGCTGGGGTCGGTGGTACCGCCTGGGTGACAGGGGCAGCGCCTGCGGGCAGAGGCAGGGTCCGGGCTCCCTGCGGGCGGGGGCGGCGCGGGAGGGCGGGCTGCTCGTCTGGGGGAGGGAGGCGCCGCACCCGCACTGCCGCTGCCCGCTGCCCCGCGTCCAGCCCAGGCAGGACTTTGCATTCCGCTCCTCGGGGCAGCCTGGGTGAAGGGAGCCTGGGTGGCCTGCAGCAGGGACCTTGCCCTCCCGGAGCCTGGAGCTTTCCCTCCACTCCTAGTCCTCGTCCGTTTCCCCTCCTCCTGGACAACAGCGTTTCCGTCTTGCACCCTAGTTTGTTCTAAGCACACATTCTAGGACTCGAGGCTATTCATTATTGTCGGAAAAATAAAGTTTATTTAAAAATACTCCGCTCCTCCCTCTGACTGGCGGTGGACCTTAACCAGTATCCCGACTTTCCCGCTCTACTAGCCCTTCTGTGATGCGAGGATGGGCAGGCAGGGCCCGACTCCTCTCGGTGCCTGCTGCTGGTTACCTGGTGTTTTGCCCCCGTCTTCGCTGTGAATTGTCAGTTCTTCCATGGTATCGGGCATCCTTGATGTTAGTAGCTTTTGAGGCCGGTGTTTTGTTTCATTGTTTGAAAAACATGCAGATAACAGGCTGTTGCAGCCTTATCTAGCATGGGTGTTAGTCGCTTCTCCGTGCTTTTCTCCTCATATTCTTGCTCTTTCTGTCTTTGTTTTGCTTTTCAGTTCTCCAGAATACACGTCATATAGCTCCTGAGGTGGAACGGTGATGTCTCCGTGAGGGAACCTCCACTCAATTATCGTGTCATGTGTTCATACTGTCCTTGACTGGGCCATTCATCTAGGATGGGATTTACCCTGTGAAACGGGGAAGACTTATGGACCCCAAGCATCATTTCAAGTTATAGTTGAGTTTTCTTTTTTTTTTTTTTTTTAAGTACGGACATACATGCAAAGCTCTTTTGCTTTGGACCCTCTGCTTTATTAAAGCTGCTGTATTGCACATCCAGAACCTTTCCAGCCTTTTGACCCCTCACCATGGCTTCAGTTTGGAAGAGACTGCAGCGTGTGGGAAAACATGCATCCAAGTTCCAGTTTGTGGCCTCTTACCAGGAGCTGATGGTTGAATGTACAAAGAAATGGTAGGTGTGTTTAGGGGCAGAGATTGCGGTCCTGTGGCCTGAACTCGCAGTGGCTTAAATTTTGGGTCTTTGGATAGCAAATTTACCTTTCAGTGGTGCACAAGTGGTTTAAGGCTGGGTGGAGTGTAGATCATTCTAACGTACTGTGTGTGGGCTGTTGCTAGTACTGTCCCAATGGATTTTAATTACTCCATTTCAGTATGGCTCAGAGGAGTGTAACACAACTGAGTACAGTAGTTTGGTTATAAAGTTTTATATCGTTAGTATTAGAATACCTTTTTAAATTTTAAACTAAGAATGACTTCATATGTTTTAATGTAACGTATATGTTGTAGTATAAAAGTCTATATTCTGTAGACTGGTGGTTTTATTTTATTCTTAGTTTTTAAAATTTTTCTTTGCCTTAGAAACAGTTTCAGTATTTGAATAGTGGAATGCCAGTCTACACAACCTTAGATAGAAATCTCTCTCTCTCCTCTCTCTCTCTCTCTCTCTCTCTCTCTCTCTCTCTCTCTCTCTCTCTCTCTTTCTCTCTCTCTCTCCCTCTCTCTCTCCCTCCCTCTCTCTCTCTGATACACACATGATGCAACATGCATACCACAGCAAGCATATGGTTGGAGGACAACTTTTTTAAGTTCTGGTATTATTTTTATTTTATGTGTATGTGTGTATTACCTGCATATAGGTAAGTGTACCATGTCGTACAATGCCCACAGAGGTCAGATGAGGCTGTTGGATCCCCTGGGACTGGAGTTATGGACAGTTGTTAGCTGCCATATGGGTGCTGGGATTTGAACACCCCAGGTCTTTTGCAGGAACAACCAGTGTTCTTAACTGCTGAGCCATCTCTCCAGCCCCATGACTTCTCTTTTGAATATCCTTTTATTTGATAAAATAGCTTACTTTATTCTAGAACTCCTATAACATATTCAGATATTTATTTGGGAACCAGTTTTTGAATGTTTTTGTCCTGAGCTTGTTAGGAATGCTATTTTAAAGTCAGTTCCAGAAATGTGAGCAGTGTTTATGTATGTAGTTTAAACCAGGTACAGTTGATTTAGAGACAGACGTGACATGCTCCCTACCCTCAGGGAGCTTATGTGACATTCATGTGAATAACTTCACTGTGATAGGTACAACATTATATACGACGTAGGGATTTTCATCTGTTTCCATCAAGTTGGATATCTGAA